AAAACCAAACCAAACAACAACACTCACGTTTTGTCACCTTGGACTCTGTCAAAAAATAAATTGTTTTTCCAAAAAAATCAATTCGCGTCTGTCCTACCAAAAAAAAAACCAATAGGATAAATAATTAATGTGTACATGTCGATCAAATAACAAGCTTTTCTTTGAAAAAAAAAATGTACAAGATGCAATTAAAAAAAAGAAAACAAATAACTGAAACTAAAGATACATATGGATAAGTGTTTTAAGGATGGTGGTGGTGGTTATCACCCGCCACTCGTCATCACTCTAGTTTTTTTGCAAATAAAAATTTCTTCACATTTTTTTTTCATCCGAGCCTATTAATTCTATAGAAACACTATGTCAGATACAAATACCCCAGCATCCACCTCTACCTCCGTCATTGAAAATGAGTCTGTGATGCTAGCAGAAGAAATTAAGAAATATAGAATGAAAGAGCTTATCGATTTCTTGCATAAGGAAGAGAACTTGGATCTTGTACAGGAAGATTATGATATAATCAAGAAGGAGAGAATTAATGGCCGTGACTTTCTCAAGATAAGTAAAGAAGATCTTCGTAGTTATGAATGCCTGGTGGTCCTGCAACAAGGCTTGCAGAATTTGCCAAGGAGTGTAAGGAGTAAAGACTAGTGCCGTAAATTATGATGATGGTAGTAATTGTATTTACGGCATATAAAAAATGGTTGCAATTACTTTTGCAACCATACTTTTTCCTTTTTTGGATTACGGCACTAGTCTTTAGTAAGGAGAAAAAGAAGAAGGTGTTTTCTTTGTACAAGAGTTTGAAGGATGTATTAGAAAAATATGGCATTAGAAGTGATAGCATAACAAGCATCCCCCAGTTCACACCAGGTAAGTTATGTCAACTTTTTTCATTAAAATTACCATTGGCTTATATATTCTCCTTTTATAGTTCTTCACCCAATCAATGAAAGTTCTAAGGAGTTCAAGCTCTGCATAGATGACATTCTTCATAGGATAAAAAATATGGGGCCAGTCATAGATAGTAATGAGGCTATGTGTTGCGAATTAGGGATGGTATATAACATGTAATAAACAATTTGAGGGGTATATACCATATTTATACCTGGTATATACCATGGTATATACCCTACTAAAAAATTACACAAGAAATCAATTGTGGTATATACCACTAATATGTAATA